TCTAATTTAACCAATAAACCATCAACTGACAACCCAAAAATTTTCCCCCAAAGTCAATGATAAAGATACGGATTCTGCATTTTTTCCCCTACCCTGTTTAAACGCTAATTTCTCAGGTACCTGAATTCCGATGAAGTTCAGACTATTTTTCGTGGATGTAGTTTAATCATGACCTTCAGGCTGTGAAAAAATTTTCTTTAGAATCCTTTTAGTTTGGCCACAATCTTTACGCAAAAATTTCATGTTTTGACTTTATATATTGTATAGATGTATAGATTAATAAATGTGATTGAGAAAAGGAAAAGATATTTCGCCAGATTTGCAACTTATGCTTATTCAGATTCTTGGCAAACAGAATTTACTTTTTCAACCTTTTATACTTTTTCTTTTTCGAAAACGTTTTTTCTTTTTTTCTTCTGAATATTCACATTTTCTATCTTGTATCTTATCGTCATCATCATCACCATCATCAGTTGAACTCCTAACACTGGTATTATCATCTCACTTAAAATTTCGCCTTTCTTTTTCTTCTTTTCCCATTTATTTGCCTTCTTTTTGCATCATTTTCTCACTCCCAGACACACATCTTATCAAGCTTTATCCTTGTTATCATCATCATCACCGATCAATATGCAAACTCAGCGGAACGAATAAAATTGAGCCAATCTATCAAACAAAATATTTCTCGCCTTTTCACTCTTCTTTACTCTTCTTCATCTTTTCATCTTCTTCGTCTTCTTGCCCATTCCGATTACACTCTTCTTCATCTGACTTTTTTTCGTCAATTCAATTTCGTCCTCTTTCACCCTTTTCCCATCATCTTAATCATCTTTCTTTTCATTTCCTTTTCCAAAAAGTGTCCAGAAATGTTTCAAATCTCCAGTTGTTATTCACAAAAGTTTATCCATAAACTCCGAGTAAAATGTTTGCTCCAAATCAATAACCAATTTCCGTAACATTTTCACATTCCTTTCGCTTTACCCAAAACTAATCCAAGTTAGACGAACATTTTTCGTTATTTTTTTTCTTCACCAAAAATTATTTCAAATTTTCCATCGGTTCTCATTAAAATACTTGGAGATTGACTTCAAGGCACGACAATATTCAGTCTCATAATTGAGCTCAACTATGCACCTTGCCATGATTGGCATATTTAATTAAAGTTGCAAAATGTTTTTCCATCAAAAGTGAATTAAAATGAGCAAAAAATTCCTTTCAATATTCAATGTCGTTTGTTTTTCTTTTAATGTACAACATTGGTATCATTATTGTCAAACTTGAATAAAGTTAAATAACTTTTTTTTCTGTTGCATTTTCAAATTAAATTAATGAATAATTCATATTCAAATGGATCAACAAAATGGTTAAAATTACATGCATTTTCCAGCTTGTTTACCATGTCTAAAGAAAAAAGTATCAAAAAAGATAAAAAAAAGTTATTCTCGAAAGTTTAAAGGAAACATTGAATATCATCACATTTATTAACATGAATTAACATTATCAACTCTTGTATTTGCCAGTTATTATCACAATATTATTAGCTTGATTGAGTTTGGAAATTGAAAGGAACTTTGACAGAAGCGCCAGAAAAAATGATTCATTCAACTCACCTAAAACACCTAAACGATAGTTGATTGTGACCACAACAACGTTACCAAAACTCGACAAAACTGATCCATCATAGCTCGATCCTGAGTTCCATTCATACGATTCGCCGTGAATAAAGACGATAACAGGCAACTTGGTCATTTCATTTGAGGCTGAAAAGTAAAGAAAAGTTTTAACAGAAATGAAAATTTCGTCTTAAGTCCCGAGTTGAATCAAAGATTAAGTTTGCGTGAAGAGTTTAGAGATCAAACTTTAAGTTGAAAGAGAGGAAACTTTTACACTTTTCGTGTTTTGAGTTTATACAAAGATTCAAATTCCGAGGGTTTTCTTCAATCCAAAACGTTCGCAAGTGTAAGTGTATCACTGCTGAACATTGTTCTATTGCTGATGGAATTATTGATTATTGAATAAGTTTCTTTGGCAAGTGTTAACACAATGCAAATGAGGAATGTTGACTTTGTAATTAAGTGTGTTTGGAGTTATTTTGATGTTAGTTACAGTTGTATTAATAAAGTTTGATTATGAGTGTAAAGTTTTAGCAAATTATGTTGGGCCAAATGTGATGATAATATTGAAATGAAATCTGTCAATTTAAATGCATCTCGTCTTCATGATATGAGAGGAGAAAATTTGCTTGTTCAAGCAGCGAACAAGAAGAGCAAAAGTTTCAACTCTTTTATATTCTTTGATATTCAATGTTGATTCAAATTGAACATTAACCTCTTCTTATTCACCATTTCACCTACAACATTTCAAGATTGCAATATGTTCGAGTCTCTTTCATCTTGTTTGTGCCTCTATTTGCTCTTCTTTACATTTTCGTTCAAATGTTTACATCAATTTCGTTTTCTTTTTTTCCTCTTTTTTAAAGTTTTCTCTTGTAAAGTTGCCATTCACAGAATCAGGTCAACGTTTCAAGAGAAGCTTCACTGTTAATGGTTGACCATGATGAGATGCCATATGAATTGGAAATGAACTTGAAAAATGGAAATTTTTCAACTCTTCTTTTGCTGCATTTAACTTTTGCCTGAGAAATGAATCATTGAACGCAAAAACTCGTTTTCTCTCGAAATGGTTTAAACTTGATTACTTATAATCATTTTCTGGTCTAGTGGAGAGTAGATTTGACCAGGTTAATTGTGGCTTACAATTGGTTGATCAGTTTAATCTTCGTCGCTTCAAATTGAATGGAATAAACTAATAGTCTTTCCGAATAAGTCACTTGATGAGTTGAGACAATTTATACACTCGTCAAGAGTTAATTGACAATTGAATGTTTACCAAAGTAGTCAAATCATTATTACAATGCAATTAACTTCGTAAAATTATTCTCATTTAGATACATTTCTGTTACCTTTAATGTTCAATTCAAAGCTTTTATTGTTATTCAAACGATGAACTTATGATGTGCTTGAAGTTGTTTAATGAACATAAATGAACAGTTTTCAAACAATTAGTCAAACAAAATTAAACTCTTGTTCTGATCTAAACGATCACTAAATGCAAAAGAAGAAAACATTTTTCGTTTTTTGTCGTTAAACGATCTTCTTGAGTCGTATTTTAATCTTTACTGTCGACTTTGAGCTTTCAAAGACTTGATGGAAACATTTTATTGGCTTGTGATTGCAATTTTGTGCTTAAATTTTGAGAAATTGGCATTTCTCTGGAATAGTTGACTGTGCAATAAAAATGATAATTCAAATGTTGAGACTATTTTCGCCATTCTTTTGTGAACACAATTTTGAATATGAAAAATATTTCCAATGACAATTGATGGATTGATAATAACAAAAACTTATCAAAATATGTCAAGCAAACATGAAGCTTTAGCTTTTCTTTTCACCATAAATATGATATTAAAGGTGATATTGTTTGTCAGAATTGCAATATTCTTACTTTTTGTTACTTTGCCTCCATGATATCTGAGAATGATATTAACATCTAAAGCGTCTCAATTGTTTTTCCACTGAAAACTTTTTCTTTTCTTGGCAAAGATGAAGAGAGAATGTGAATCTGTCGAATCTTAGACAATGAATATTGAGTATGAGAGCAATAAACGGCGCATTAATATGACAACAATGTATCTACACTTTGAAGTATTTTTGTTTCTTTTTTTTCGGGAAAACAAATTAGTCTTTAAATTGTTCAATTTTTACCTTGCAAGTTTACAGGGAAAGCATGAACGAGATTTTTATTCCAATGTTTACTCTTTTCGCTTTCGATTATCCAATATTGAAATTTCAAGTTGCAACCAAATTAATCAAAATGTTACATTTAACTTGCCTTTTTTGTTTCGCATTATTGACTTGAACAATTGAAGGTAAAAATTTATTATTGGAAAACATTATTTTTATGGCAATTTCAACTTTTGCTTCTCAAACTCGTTAAAATGCTCCAAAGGTAATGTGTTTATGGATAACAGTGAACGACGTTTTGAATAAGTTGACAAATTTTTACTTTTCACGTTTACGAAATAAACATTTTTTTCCTTTCTTCTTCTTGCTCGGTAAATGGAGCAAATTTTGTGCCATAAATTTGCTCCATTTGTGATCAATTGATACAAAAAAAGATGGCAAAATAAAGAAAAATTTATTGGCTTAATGAGATTCAATAAAGCTTGGCTTTTTTCGAGTAAAGATACATAAAGTATGCCTTTGCAAATGTTGGGTTATGATTTTGCATCTAATGTGACACGGTACGCTTGATTAATTCAATAGGCAAATTTCAAGTTCTTTTTCAGTTTTCTTTCGCAGCCAATGAACCTTTTAAAATTGATACAGTTAGTGGTAGAGAGCATCAATATCGTCGACTTGCCTGGTGATAGAGGTTTGGACAATATTAAACAATAAATCTACAATCGATTGGCTGTAGATGGTGCTTAGATGTCAATAAATGGTACATTTCTTCCGAAATGGATCGACTTTCTCAATGCATAATTAATGTATTGTATTTATGCCCATTGGTGAGACCAGACTCGTCACAGTCCCAGTGCGTGGGCTTATGCAAAGCAAATTGTCTCTCTGGTGTTTATAGCGACACTTGATACAGGAATTGACGACATTGCTCAGGGGGTGAAAGTAAATAGAAAATTATCTTTAGACTGATTATAATCGGAATGTAAATTAATTTTGAAGACGAATATATTCTGGGATCAGAACTGAGGTGGGAGTAATAATTATTCTTCAGTTCAAAATCGAGCCAATTCTGGACCGGAAAACATTAGAATGCTAAAGAGAAACTATTTTAGAGTTATAACTATTATTAATAATAATAGAGCTACAAAAAAATCGACCAGAGATGTTCTGATAATTGAAACTGGTGTGGGAGTGATAATCGTGTGCAAGTCTGGCATTGACGAAATTCTTGGAGTTCAAATTTCTCTTGAAGGAAACCTATCAGAATACTTTTATTAATATTTTAGAGTTGCTAATTGTGATAGAAATTCAAAAGTAGAAAATCATGGATGAGCATTGTTCTAATTGAAGTCGAACTGAAAGTAAAAATTATATTTTGATGCGGATTGACGAAATTCAGGCAGAATTTTACTAGCAGGGAAAATTATCCTTGGAGTAATAATTATTTTCTTGGATCTTATTTTCTCAAAGTTCATTGTGAAAATGCTCTGAGAGTGAAAATTTTGATTGTAAATTGTTCATTCTTCAAGTTTTGGCAGTTTCCTTTAAATCATTGAATAATTGTTTGGTCTTTACAAATTTCACGATAAATTAATTTTGTTCATTATTACAGTGAGTGCAGAAAACAATTTGGTGAAAATTTTCAAAGTTTTCAAGGAACGAGAGGGAAAAAGAGGAAAATTTCATCTCAAAGTTTAACCATTATAATTGAGTCTAATAAATAACAATGAAAAACAGTTAAAGCTGATGTATCAAGACGAAAGGGATAAAGTTTATTCTGCACAAAATTGATGTAACAAGGTAATTCAATTAAATTAAAAGTAATCAGAATGATGATGTGTATGGAAAGGGAAGCTCAAGAAGGAAGGCAACAAGAAAACGGTAAGATAAATAACAACAATAACAAATTTAATGAAAGTTATTACGATAAAGTTGAATTTAAAGGTGAAATGAGCGAAGAGTAAAGAGAAACAAGTTGAATCAAATCAAATGAATAATAACATTTTTTATGTTGAACATTGTTATATAAAAGTAAAATTACTTTCAATTATAAACCAACATTGTGTGTATCTGAGTGTGTGAGTTTCTTATAGAGTTTCAAGCGTAAGTGACTGAACAAGAATATCCAAAGATGCTGAAGAATGATAAGATGAAGTCAAGGAATGACAACTTTTCCCTTCTTTTTTCTTCTCTTTTTGTATCAATGTTTTTGATGATGATAAACTGACTCTAATTATGGTTATCATGACAAACTGGAAAACTCAACATTAGTAAATAATGCAAGATTGAGCAACGTGATAACATGGAAGCGAAATTTTCACGATTTTTCAATTTCTAAAAGAAGCCACTTTTCGTTGGAACTTGTTTGGTGATGTTCAATTATGAACAGTTTGATAGACTGTCAATTGCAATCGTCTAATTAGACTTTGTGTTGATCTTGAGCCTTTCAAGAGATCAACTTTACATGATAATAATTGTTGTTATTGAGCAACTATTTTCTTGTTTAAATACTCGACATTCCAAGAGCATCATCAACTATGATATTCATGATGACTTTCAACTTGAGATTCTCTTGTCCAACAACTTTTTCCCATTCTCATTGAGTGCATCAGTGAATCTCTGAAAATGAAGCCTGGAATCATTTGAATGACGAATTGAGATGAATGCCGAGATTGTTTATGAACACAGATTTATACAGATTTACAGATTAATAGAGATTAGAGGGTGAGAAAAAGTGATCAGAAAGTAAACACTTTTTACTGATCGTCAATTCATTTCCTGTTTCCTGGAAATGGACAAGACTTGAGAAAAGGACAAAGTGACCAGAAAAGATGTTAACAAGAAGCAAAAAGAAAATGACAAAAAAAACTTTTTCTTTGCTATTGGTTTTTTTCCTCGTCGTTTATTTAGTTTCCAGAATCATTGTAATAGAAGGAGAAACTCAAGGATAAATTCAAGGTAAGAATGGCCACTCAAGACTCTGATAACCATGTAAACAAGCATGTTTGGGTCACACT